GTACAGAGGGCCATAGTGTAATACAAGCCCTGCATCATGAGACAATAACAATGTAAGAAAATTTGTAAGACAATTATGACAATGGAAACGAAGGAAGGAGTAAACCTCTATGGCGCGAACAGGGGCAGATTGGAGTAGCTGTTCCAATCCCATTCTGCCGATAATTTCTTCATCCTTGGGGAGCCACATTCCCCGAGTGACGGCCAGCGCTGCAGATGGGTCAGTGATCATAGAATCACCAACATGGATGATAGATTTGTCAGCCCTCGAGAAAGAAGGAGTCCAAGGTGCCCCAGCCTCAGCAAGGACGTAAGCACTGACCTCATCTTCAGGGTTAATCTCTTCAGCTTTCTTCCCTTTGCTTTTTGGGTTGGAAGCACCTTTGGGTTTTCGTGGTTGAAGAAGGGTTCAGCCTCGCCTTTTTGTTCAAGGGGACTTCGTCAATCTCTTTCTCCTGTTCGTTTGAGCGCAATATAGTCAACGGGGCACTCTCTGCAGCCTTCTTCTTTAAGGCTTCAGCCCTCTGTTTTTCTTCTTCAGTCATGGGGAAGCTGTCGAATGATGGAAGTGAGAGGTCCATGAGATCAGCAGCTACAGCTCTAGAAGCATCTGCTTTAAGATTTGCAGAAGTAAGCAAGTTCTCAACCGAAGGACGGTCGTTTTAAACCTGTCCTTCCAGGAAGGAAAGCCTCTTCTTGGAAGCCGAAGAAGGAAATATCGCTGAAAAAACACCAAGAAACTTGTAAATATATCTAAAGAATAAGACTCGACATGGGAAACAGCCAGAACAATCTTCATGAAGAAAGGGGGGATATTCTATACCTAACTTCCCGAACTTGCGAGGGATTGGGAGTTTGCTCGATTGGGGCACGGCCTATCTCCCTTTAACGATTATCATCTTCTCTTTCCACTTCTTCTCAGAAGTAGGGAGGTCTGTACATATCATTTGGTGCAAGAGGGAGGTGAAAAATAAACGACCAGGTTCGGTCCCGTGCTTAGAAATGGAATAAGTAATCAGCAAGTTAGCCAGAGTCAGGTCAAGACTCTCTAGTCATCGACGGATGAGGAGTGTCGAGATTACTCGAAGGAAGTTAGGGTTTACTTGCAGGGGTGCAATCCCTAATTTGTTAAAGACTAGGTGGTAGAAAGGATGAAGGGGGAACTTAAGAGCGTTGAGATGCCCAACAGAGAGGAGCAACTCGTCCTCTCCGACGCCCTCGCGGGCGCAAAAATAGGCGCATTTGGGGTATTCCGCAATTTCTACTCCCTCAGGAATCTTAAACTCTTCCATTACGTATTCAATGGAAAACGGGATACGACGAATGGATAAAATTGCATTCCTTTCTTCCTTAGTGAAAATATAGTCTGACCCAGAGGTGGATGTATCAGCCTGGATCGGGGAAGCATTCGGCTGATTAACCGAGTCATTTGCAGGTTTAGGGAAGTTCGAAACCCTAGAAGGGGGAACCCTAATGAGATTAGGGGAAGACGAGGGTGTGGACTCAGAATCTACGATCTCTATACGCTCAGGAATAGTTGAAGTACTCATAATGTAAGATTGGAAGAAGGGAAAGAAGAACTAACCTGGAGATATGAAAGTATGAAGAACGCAGTAGACAGAATGAGCACATTGAGAACAAAAGCGAGTCTTGAAGAAGCCTTTGGGTCAGAATAACAATGACTCGAATGGAAACGCCTCGTGCAAGAATGGCAACTACACGACTTCAATTCTCCTTTAATTAGGAGCCGTAACCCAATTAAAGTGGAATTGGGGGCAAAGTGTGGAGGGAAAAATTTCCCTCCAATAAGAATGAGACACATCACCATTATACAGATCTGCAGTTAAGAGATCTCATAAGCCCATCCAGATCAAGCCCAAGTTACGTTGAGCTTTAACCCATCATCATTTATGTTGGGCCTCCAAAGCCAGACAAAAGTACTGATCAGCCCAACATCACCGCTGTTGAAGTTTTGATCCATTAGTAAGGTCACTTACACCAAACCGCGTCCGGCCCAAGTATAATTAAATATGGCTTAGTCCTATTTAACAAATGAGTCAACTAGGATGGAAAGTTTTTATACAAAACAAATTCTACATAGGAAATATCATACAATGGAAAGAACTCTATTTGTAAAGAAAGTCATATATGGAAAGAATTGGAGGACAAGTAACGCGAGTCCTACCATAATTCTACCAACTTTTGTGTATAAATAGATGCCTAGACCTCCAATAAAGGGGCAAGCAATTCAATTCTTCAATAGACACTGTTCTTGTTTATTCTTATTGTTTGTTGAGTGTGTTGTATTATTTTCTCTCGATCGTAATTGGTTGAGCGAAATTTTGCACCTACAATCATACTTTCAAATTGATTGATGATACATATAGTTAAGTACTTACACCTTCATTGCATCACTTTGAATTTGTAAAATGGACTCTTATCAGCATTTTCTCTACTTTCCATCCCTTTTCAACTTGTAATTAATGTGTTTTTTTACTAGATTCACACTATTTAACATGAGTTTTGAAATATTTTAGACATAGTAATAATATTAAGAGAAGCTCGATTACGTGAGAAGAGTGTGAGCTTTTCATATTTAACTAGACGATATTTTAGATGATTAGTATGACTTTTAATAGATCTCACAAATATCGTAAACACCTTTTATGTGTTGACTTAATCCCATTCCTTAGAAATTTAGGTGATCTAAAGTACCCTTGCTTTTGGAGTTTGGACCAGTGTTAAAAAGCTTCATGTTCTATATTTTTCAATTCGATCAACATCACCCAATAGTCCATTGAACAACTAACTTGGTGAGAGTGACTCTCTCGTACCGTTTCTGTCTATTATGTGTGTGTGTGTGTGTGTGTGTGTGTGTGAATTGAGAGACACCTCCAAATGCATAACCACCACGCAGTAAGTCACATAGATAAATTGGATTGGATGAGCTCCTGAATCAACCACAGCCTTTGACTCCTATCAGCTGAGGTCAGCATATAAATCAAGATGCATTTTTATTATTTTTTTTCCAGGAAAGCAAACAACACTACAATCAAGATGCATTCAAGATTTTAAATATGTTAATAAATAATAATGAGGTTATGATAGAGCTCAAGCATATATGGATACACTAATTTAATTAGCAAGTTACTATTTCTGAACATTAGAACCTTTTTTTTAAAAAAAATTATTTATAACGATAAATATTAAATTGTTAATCTTTTAGAAATAATTTGTTGTGCAACGGTGAGTAAGAACATTAGAACCTTTTTTTTAAGACAATTATTTATAACGATAAATATTAAATTTTTAGTCTTTTTTTTTTAATTATTAATAACTATAAATATTAAATTTTTAGTCATTTTTTAAAAATTATTTATAACTATAAATATTAAATTTTTAATCTTTTTGAAATAATTTTTTGTGCAGCCGTGAGTAAGAAACTTTCTCCACATCAATCATAATGACGGTAGACTGAAATCTAAATTTAAAAAATGTAATTACCAAAAATACATAATAATCATATCCAATAATCATTATGTGGATGAATTTCTTGCTCATCTAGTAAGCGAAATTTTGTTACTCCTTAGTCTATTATCTCATTTTTTACTCCTTAGTGTAATATTTTCTTTCTCCCAAGATAAGTATCATACTTTCTTTTTTTGTCTGTTCCAAAATAATAGTCCACTTTTATTTTTTAAACAACATATTTCACAACTTTCTATATATGTCCTGAATATTCAAAACTTAAAAAGAAAAGTTAGTAATTTCTTAGACAGAAAATGCATGTCTCTTTAAAAATTACTAGTCCTCGTAAGCATCACTTGAATTGAGACCAGTGAGAATAATTTCTGAAAGGATAATTATTTTCAGGCCCAAATCTTTAACCAAATAGTTGGGCCGAAGTAAGCGCATGTGGTTGATTCGGCCCAAGAGTTCAACTAAAAACTTGGTTTGTACAACATAACTCTTTTTTAAAGCATTTATTTTTCATTCCAACTAGAAAGTAACCGTTCCAATAGGACCAGTTCTCTTTATTTTTTATATTTGGATTTATTCCATTGTTTATGCCCAATGATTTGGACACTTTACGATTTTCAAACAAATTAGTATTATTAATTGCTTAGCGTAATCGTGGACATTTAGGAGACATAATACGTTATTAGTAAGTTGATCAAATAAAAAATGCACCACCCAATTAAGATTTTTCTAAGTATATCCAACCAAAAAAATTATAAAAAACTCTAACAAGCTGATGCCTGATGCAATTTTTGGGTATGTAATCATATGTAATTCCCTGCATAATGTAAGTCCTAAATTATATAATAATTTCTCACTTGACTCTCTAGAATAAGCAGGGAGAGAGGAGACTTCAGGGGCGTAACGACATTGACAGAGATTCAGGAGGAAATTTTTTTGAGATTTCGCTTTCGAATCGAACTTCTGACATGAATGGTGCATATGTTGTGAGCAGACCGATACAGAGAGAAAAAATAATAATAATAATAAAAAGAAAAGAAAAGGAGGGGTGTGACATCAGAATTGGGGGACTCTGGCTTCATCTTCTTCTTCTTCATTTTATTTTTATTTTTATATTTATTTTTTTTTGCATTTTCTGTCAAAATTTCAACATCAGTTTCCTCACCCATCCACGAGTAGGTTCTTTCTGGAAAGATATGTAAGATTCTTTTGGTCATTAATCAAATCATTCAATTGGTTCGTTATACACAGATTCCATACGCATATTAAAAGACAATGAATCTTTAATTCACTTTTTCTTTTAGACTTTAAAGTCGATAGAGTCCACGCCCATACTTGCAAAGGTAAGCTCATCTCTTCTCTACTTTTTGATAAGGTTTCTGGTCTTCATTCATTATTTAATGTGTGTGTGTGTGTGTGTATATATATATATATGTCATGTAAATGAATACTATAGGCAGTTCATGTTACTTTCCATTATTCTGCTTCACTAATTTGATATCTTAGGCAGATAAGGTATTCACTCTTTTTCCTTAGAGAAGTTTTGAACTTGGTGCATAGTTATTGCATTGTTTTTTCCATATATTGTTCTTGGAAGCTGCTAGTTACTTGTTGAAGGAAAACCATATTGAAGATTTTCATATTTAACTTCTAAGAATATTTGAGCTTTTCTGTTGGATATTTCATACTGCATATTTATGTGAATTGAATTATTTTGGTTTTAATTTAATCACGCCATGATAGTTTGTGTCCATCTTTAATATTTTTCAATAGGAACTTCATGGAATTTCTGTTATAACAAAAACATTCCAATTTACATTTGTTAATAGAAAAGATCGAAGACATGACTATTGCTGAAGTAAATAGAGCTCCAACCAGGCTTGAGGTTTGTGATTCAAATCGATTTATGCAGAGGAATTATACAAGAAGATAACTAACTTGTGTTTTTCTCTTCAATTTCAGGGAAGGTTTAGAGCAATGGTAGTATGTTGGATTCTTGGACTCGGCTCCCTCGTGTCATGGCACAGCATGCTGACGATTGGAGACTACTTCTACAATTTGTTCCCGGTAATTAGCCCATAGTTATTTTCATCCTTCTTTTCAGATTATGGCTCTTTCCTTTAAATTGATTCATTTTAGACATCTTTCCTGCCAACATAATATCAAGGACAAATTTCCCACCAACAGAAATTGAATGTCACAAAACACTTATCCAGTGTAAAATTTTGATTTTAGACTTGCTTTTAGACCTGTGCACCAATTTCTTTTGTGATGTGTTTCTTTTGCATAGAAGAAATACCATCCTGCCAGGGTAATCACCCTCGTTTATCAACCGTTTGCATTTGGAACAATTGCAATACTTTCATACAATGAGTCAAGGATTGATACAAGGCGACGTAACATAATGGGATACACCCTTTTCTTCTCGAGTACTTTGTTGCTCTTAGTTGTAAGCACTGCCACTGCTCCATTTGTTTGATGTTGTTGTCTATGTTCTTGAATTTGCTCCATTTGGTTTTAGAAATCCATACTTCAAATAACCTCAACTCAGAATTATGCTTACAACCAACTCGACTCCATTTTTTTTTCATCTTTGACAGTTGGATTTAGCTACAACAGGAAAAGGAGGGATCGGAACTTTTATTGGTATATGTGTCTTAGTTGCTGCTTTTGGGGTTGCAGATGCCCATGTTCAAGGTGGAATGGTTGGAGACTTATCATTCATGAGCCCCGAGTTCATCCAAGTCAGTCTTGTGGTTAAATGTATTTTTTTTTCTTTTGTTCCTTGACCACTTTTATGAATATTCCTGCTATGGATGTTGCAGTCATTTCTCGCTGGTTTGGGTGCATCAGGGGCTCTGACCTCTGCTTTGAGGCTAATCACAAAAGCAGCTTTCGAAAAATCTGATAATGGTGAACGCAAGGGGGCTAGTATGTATGGAACCATTTCAGATTTTTGTCGTGAAGTTTCAAAAGTTATGTTGATAACTATATCTGTTATTACTTCTTTTGCAGTGCTATTCCTTGCCATCTCTACATTCCTTGAGTTTCTATGCATATTACTATATGCAATCGTCTTCCCCAAACTACCGATTGTGAAGCACTACCGCTCAAAGGCAGCCTCAGAAGGATCAACAACTGTTTCGGCTGACCTTGCTGCCGCAGGCATACAAACACAGGCAAGTTAAAACAGTATAAAATGTATTTCAATCATGTAAAACTCAATGTTCAGTAAGTTTTTAGTTTCGAAACTTTAAGATGATTTTTGGAATCTATACAGACTGAAGATGATGCTAAGCTACTGGAGCGGTTGAGCAACAAACAGTTGTTCCTTCAGAACGTAGATTACATGTTATGCATTTATTTAATATATGTCTTGACTTTGTCAATTTGCCCCGGGTTCTTTTATGAAAATACCGGATCACACAAGCTAGGACCTTCATGGTAAGTGTTCATTAATGACAATGCTAGTTAGCATCTTTAATGGTTATTTAACAGCCATTTTTGTCTCGTCCTGTGAAACCACTATTTCTTTGAAAGCATATGGTTAGTATGTGATGTTATAATGTTTTCATAGCATTCAGAAATTCCATCAATTTAAGAATTAAAAAATATATATAAAAGAAACTAGCATTGTTTAGATTTTTTGTTCTGATAGCAATGTTCTGATATATTATAGGGGTTTTATATCAAGATACATTGTTTAAATTTTCACATTGGTGATCTTTCAGGTATCCAATTGTTCTGATAGCAATGTACAATGTCTGGGATTTTATATCAAGATACATTCCCCTCGTGAAGTGCCTGAAATTGGAGTCAAGAAAGGGCCTTATGCTTGCAATACTGTCCCGTTTCTTGTTCATCCCTGCATTTTACTTCACTGCAAAATATGGTGATCAGGGATGGATGATAACGCTCGTATCCATCTTGGGACTAACCAATGGTTATCTTACCGTTTGTGTCCTTACAGTGGCTCCTAAAGGCTACAAGGTTAGTTAACATTTTTCTTCGTAAATCTTTTCGGATACATAGCATCAAAGTCCAAAATGTGTATGAATTCAAAATTTTCGTTTTTGTTTTGTAGGGTCCGGAGCAGAATGCGTTGGGCAATTTGCTAGTATTATGTCTTTTAGGTGGCATATTTACAGGGGTTGCTCTAGATTGGTTGTGGCTAATTGGGAATGAAAAATTTTAAAGAGCATAGTTCTGATCTTGGTTAAAGAAAGTCAATTCACCACACAAAGTACTTCAAATCTGGATGGAGATAGAACAAGAGCCCATACTGGAGTAGTAGCAAAACTTACTGGGCGAGCTTTTATTTTATAAAATATATCCAACCCTTGATCTAGAATGTGTTTCCAAGTAGTATAAATGTGATGATCTTTTTTCATGTATACTTGATGGTAGTTTGTGTGAACATGATGATAAATAAAGATCAAGAATTGATGTCTTATGCAACATTTGAAACAGAAACTTTTATGGACTATTGGAGGCAATAACAGACAGATTTAAGTCAGCTAATGAAACCAGAGAAATAGGTCAGACAGATATTTAAGAAATCTGGACTTTAAAGCAGAAGTTGCAAAAACAGGGTTGAGCATGACTGACTCATCTCATTTTTCTCTCTACAACAACACCAGGTGGTGCGCATGGTTCGGTTTAATCCTGAATAATTAGGGGGAGGGGACTCAAACACGCGCATACCCACTTGAGGAGGTGGACGCTCCACCAATTAGGCAACTAGATAATACCTACGTCTTTGTTAATTAACTAACATATAAATTATAAATTTATAAATATATAATATAATATAACATATATATATTATTAAATATAATGGTTCGGTTCAGTCCGAATCGATCCGTAGGATCTCAATTCGGAACCGAACCGTTAGAGAATCGGACTGAACTTTTCAGTCCGGTCCAATCAGATTTCATTTTTCTGGTTGGTCAGATTTTTGTGACCTAACACCCAAGTCACTGCACGTCAAACTGTACTAACACATAGGAGGCAGTTGATGTCTCGTGTGGAAATAATGAATAGTATTGGTGGCAGGATTGATAGCAGAAAATTTTCACTTTTACTTAAAAATCATTGCAATTACTCTTTCTTTTAAGTGAATTACAGGATACAAAGCGTATTACGATTCTGAAAATATTTTTGCCATAAGACAACTTTATTTGTATGAATAAAGGCAAAAACCATAATGACGAAATAAAAAACTGATTGAGTTGAAAAAGAAATTTGCACAAAATACTATTTTGTACATCCCTAAGTGATCCCTTTCTAAAAACAAACATAATGATTGACGTAAAAATATGGGTTTGTATGAATAGAGTCAATATACACCTCTTCAAATTCAAACACCAATCACCTGTATAATATTTCTAACAATTAATTTTAAAAAATATGTGTTTGTATGAATAGAGTTAATATACACCACTTCAAATTCAAACACCAATCACCTGTATAATATTTCAAAAATTAATTTAAAAATATATTACATTTTTTTCTAACTAGAATGGCTCACTCCCAAAGTTTGTCTACTATAAAAAGATATTACATTTATTATAAATTTTTCTGAGTTTCTCACTGCTCATGATAGCATGAAAAAAGAGAGTAAACTTAATTTTTTTTATTACCTAATGCGTAAAGTACTTATTGAAACAACTTAAGAGAAGATAGTTTATCTTTAATGACAAATAATTCTCATTAGACTCTTTCATATCTCATTATACCTTGTAACTCTCTCTCTCTATATATATTAAAGTAAATGCTACTATGAGCTCTCTCGTGGCACTGCCAGTGTGTGCTCAAGGGGCACATGCCCCCTGACCTTATCAAGTTTAAAATTTGGTTATTTTTTTTTTTATTTGTACATTTGTAAGAAAATTTCTATATAATATCTCTCTTAAAATTTTTAATTTTTAAAATTATCTTCTAAAGTTTTCTTTCTTTTTCTCTCGAAACCTTAAAATTCTTTTAATTTCCTTAAAACAAAAGTTAAATTTTCATTCTTCAGTCAAAGTGTAATTTTTTTCCTTTCAAAGTCTTCATTTTTCTTTAAATTAATATTGCAATTTGGTCAAAATAAAGAGTACTTAAAAAAAAACTTTGATCGATTGGTTTGATTTATCTTACCCCTCTAAGGTTTGTCAAAATTGCACACAGATTAAGCTTACTTGTTTTTTGGACAAAGACACCACTTATATGAAACTCCAACCGAGGCCTTAAATCTACCCCTCAATATTAAATTCAGATTTAATATAAAAAATCATATATAGTAAAAAGACACAATTACCTTCAGTTTATTTCACCCATCCCACCTACTCCAACTAACCCGTTCCATTTCCCTAATCTGTAACCCCTTCCATTAATTATATGACCAAACCACATTTTTCCCCTCTCTCTCGGCGTTCACTACCCCACCGCCGCGGCCTCTACCACTACCACGCTCTTCCCCTCTCTTTCTCTCTATATATATACACGGCGTTCATTGCGCCACCACCACCACCCATCTTCCCCTCTTTCTCCACACACACACACATACATATATACAGTCGATGCTTCTAGGTCTCGCTGGACTGAACTGTTGTAGTTTATTTTTTAGTTTTGTTTTTGTTCTTCTTGGTGGAGGGATGCCTTCACTTTTCCTCTGTATCATATTGTGTATTTGTTAATCTGTTTGGTTAGATGAAAATAAGCTAGAAAAGAAAAGAAATAGAATGTAACAACCATGATTTTTTAGAACTCATGTTATATATATATATATATATATATATATATATATATATATATATATATATTAAGTTTCTATTCTAAATGGTTGTTATCATTTAAAGTACGATAAACAAGGAATATGTTTGATTTATCCTATAGTTAATAATCGAATAAGATATTTCAATTATAATTTAAGTTTTTGAAGAGAGTAACTATTATGATCACGTAATTTGTTACCTTCGGTGAGAGTGATATAAGAGTTTATGTTTGTTATTCGGTAAAGACTTCTTCAAAGATATACGGCACGCTCAGAAACACAGTGCAAGGAAGTGCGTGAGAGTTTCAGAGGAGGTATGACGTGGCAAAGTGATTGTTAAGCATGAAATTTTTAGGCAAGTTAACTCTTATCGTTGTTCTTTCTGGATATAACATAACCTTTTTAGTTATACTGAAGAGGCAAGAAATATACTCTCTCGATTTAGAAAGAATAGTTCTACACTTCAAAAATATTTCAACCTCTTTTTCCTCTCTTTTCAGTCTATTTATAGACTTCTACAAACATTTTAGAAGCTTCCTAACTAACTCTTCATGCTGGGCTGATCCTTTGGGCTCACTATGGATATAGGCCCATTCCCTTTGCTTTAAGACTGGGCTTCCAGACTGATCTTCCGGTCTTGGGCCCAATAAGTAATGGGTCGATTGAACAAAGTGTTCTTTCCAGACCCGTTTCCAATGATCTAGGTTATACCCGGCCCAGGTCATTTTTGGTATCCCCATCTGGCCCCATAATCTCTCCCTAATTAATTAGGGTGAGATTATCGAAATGAGTCAATCATGATGAGACTGCTTGAGGTAATGACGTGGGGAGGCGAGTGGTTGGTTTAAAGACCCATGTTTTGAGATTTGAAGCACCATCATTGCCGTAACTCCTTGGGTATCGAGCCATTCTCTTTTTAAAACCCCAAACCTCAAGTTCCTGTCCTTACTCTGCCTTAGTCATCTTCACCTTCAAGCATCGTCTCTCTTTATCGTCTCTGCCAACAACCAGTTTTCTCCGGTGACTTTTCCTTAACCTCTCCGGTGAGTTCTTCCTTTGCAATTCTTCGTCTCCCATTTCGTTACGGTATATTCTACGAATCTTCTTTCTAAGGTCAGTTTCACTTCCTTGCTGTTTTTTCGAAAACTTTATTCTTTCCTAATTTTCTTGAAAGATAGAAAATCTAAAATTAAGAATTTCCTTCGCCATTATTATGGCTCCCGATTTAGAGGTTCTTCGTTCAAGGAATGAAATCCTTAACGACGTCTCCCTTAGGGTTTATCCCAAGGACTTGGATGAGAGATCTGGTAAAGGTCTTCTTCCAGGGGAGGTCTACTTCTCTGCTCTTCATTTGAATGTAATTAGATTTCCTTTACACCCGTTCTTTTGTTATGCACTCAGCAAATTAGGGCTTTCCCCTCTTCAGGTTAACCCTAACTTCCTTAGGGTTATATCCGTTCTCTTGATTTTGAATCGTGACAGGAATCTTGACCTAAATATCATAGATCTTCTTCTCTGTTACTGAGTTACCAGGATCAGAACCAACGACATGTACTTTAATCTCTTTCCTATTGAGAAGCGATTTATTTGTACGAACAAACTCTCATCTGAAAAGGGTTGGAGGAAAAACTTAATTGGGGTCAGTGGAAATTGGCGAACTCCATTTGCTCAGTCTTTCCCTATCCCGACCATTTTCGGAGAGTGTTTTGTCCCTTTATACAAGAAATATAAGAAACATCCGACCGATTGCCCCTGTGAAATTTGCATTCCCCGTTTCTTTGTGATTGCCTTCGCATTCCTCATGACGAATTGGTTTACAGCATTTACAGGGCTAGAATCGATCGTCTAGAGTAGAAAGTTCTGAACGGCATCCCCTCGGCCATAGACCTGCTCACACCGGATAACCTTTCTGATATATCCATTCTTGGTGCCACCATGGAACATATTCAGATCCCTTCGTTTAGCAGAAGAAGAAAACCCTCCACTATAGCTGGTTTTGCAATTACCCCGGCCACCTTTGTGGCCATTCCAACCGTCCAGGTTACGGTCAGAACGTTAAGCAACATACCACTGAACCCTCTACATCTACTTCAGCTAAAGTTCAACCCTCTTTGCCGAACGACGGGCCCTCTGACACTCCAAATGAAACTTTTCCACCAGCTGCTCAGAACGTTGAGGAATCTTCCCCTATCCGAGCTAATATTTTAGAGAAAAACTTAGGTAAAAGACCCCAGCCTGAGGGTGGTTCCAACCAAAATGACCTTCCCCCAGTTAGAAAGGCTCGGACTTTCAGGGTCATCACTCTTATCCCTTCTCCTCATGCAACCATTCCAGATGGTGAGTTAGCCAGAACCTCTGGCTCTTCCCCATCAGTGGTTCCATAGCGCCCCTTACTCAAGTGGGAGGATGGATCAATTGTGGCCTCCACAGATAGTGTGTTTAAAGATCTTGCCACCTCATTTGCCTTCTATAGGGGTATCTGGACCCCTCAGGACCTTCAGACCCAGGAGAAGATAACTTGCAGTGAAATGTTTCAACGTTTCCTTGCAGCCGCTGTTGAGGTAGATCTCTTTTCTTTTACACCATCTTTCATCCAATTTTTTTTTTTTTACTTGTACTTACCAGAATGCTTGTATCTTTGTGCAGACTCTGTTTGGGATGATCACCTTTCAGAGAAACCTTGAAATGGAAAATATGAGGATT